CCCTGAGTTAACTCGGTCAGATTGATTTTTTGGCCAACTCAGTGATGTTTTGACCGGTTTTAGGCCGAGTCAAGTTGGTTCCTAGCATTTTCAACCATTCCGGACGCAACCGTGGTGTCCGTTTTGTGAAACAGCACACCGAAGTTACTGTTTTGGCTCTTTTGAGCATAAAAGTGCATGTTTTAACAATTTCGGGAGCCTATTTGTAATCCAAAGACGTCCTAATGGCTGATATTCCAGAAGAAAAATTAGTGGGAAATGCTAGTATACCTCCACAATATATCCCGGTATCGAGTACCAAATTTGAGGTGGAGAAGTTTGATGGGAAGGGTAATTTTGGCATGTGGAAATGTGAAGTCATGGATATGCTTGTCCAAATGAATTTGGATTTCACTCTAGAAGATAAACCGGAGGATTTGGATGATAAAAGCTGGGAAAGGATAAATCGGTTAGCTTGCAGTTCCATCCGACTTTGTCTTGTAAAGGATCAGAAGTACGCCTTTTCAGAACAAAACTCTGCAAAGGAATTATGGCAAGCACTGGAGGACAAGTTTATGAAGAAGAGTATAGAGAATCGTCTCTACTTGAAGAAAAGGATCTTCCGCTTTCAGCACAAGAAAGGTACTTCTATGAATGAGCATCTGAATGATTTCAATAAAATGATTGCTGATTTGAAGAATTTAGATGTGGAAATTGATGATGAAGATAAAGCTCTACTGTTATTGAATTCACTGCCTGACACATATGAACATCTCGTCACCACTTTACTGTATGGTAAAGAAAAGATTAAATTCATTGATGTGTCTAATGCTTTGGTGAACAATGAGTACCGGAAGAAGGATCAGATTGTTCACAAAGAGTCAACGTCAGAAGCATTGACAGTTAGAGGCAGAACAAACCCTAGAAGATTTCGAGGGCGAGGGAGATCTCGCTCAAAATCCAGAGGAGAATCATCAAACAGACGATATCTTGCAAAGGATGAGTGTGCCTTTTGTCATAAAAAGGGGCACTGGAAGAAAGATTGTCCGATTAAGGGCAATAAGGAAAAAGATGAACCAACTGTGAACGTTGCACGAGATGAGGATGAACGAGACTCTGCATTCATGGTCTCATCACCAGAAAACCATTCTGGTGAATGGATTCTTGATTCTGCATGTTCCTATCACATGTGCCCTAACAAGCACTTATTCTCGAGACTCGAGGAGTTCGATGGAGGAGTTGTGTTGATGGGTAATGATGATGTTTGTGAGATCAAAGGGATTGGGACTATCCATCTGAAGATGCATAATGGGGTAGTCAAGGCACTGACAGAGGTACGATATGTACCTGACCTGAAGAAAAATCTCTTCTCACTTGGAGTCCTAGAATCCAATGGTTATAAGATTATCATGCATGGTGGAGTCCTGAGAGCAATCCGTGGTGCATTAGTTGTCTTAAGAGGCACGAGGAAAGGAAACTTATATTTCCTGGATGGATCTACTGTTACCGGTACAGCAGCTGTTTCCAAAAGCATAGAAGATGATGAAGCAGATAATTCCAGACTTTGGCACATGCGTTTAGGGCATGCTGGTGAAAAGGCTTTGCAAGGATTGGTCAAACAAGGTCTATTAAAAGGCGCCAAGACTGGAAAGCATGGGTTCTGTGAGCATTGTGTTCTTGGAAAACAGACAAGAGTCAAGTTTGGCACTGCGGTACACAATACAAAAGGGATTCTTGATTATGTTCACACAGACGTATGGGGACCTTCAAAGAATGAATCTCTTGGAGGTAATCGTTGGTTTGTTACTTTTATTGATGATTTCTCAAGACGAGTATGGGTGTACATGATGAAACACAAGGATGAGGTCCTTGATATCTTTCTGAAATGGAAGAAAATGGTGGAGACTCAAACGGGAAGGAGAGTTAAGACTCTTCGGTCAGATAATGGTGGTGAGTACACTTCAGATCCTTTCTTTCAAGTTTGCCAGGATGAAGGGATCAAACGACATTTTACTGTGCGTAAAACACCACAACAAAATGGAGTAGCAGAACGCATGAATCGCACATTGGTAGAGAAAGTCCGATGTATGCTATCACATTCAGGACTAAGCAAAGTGTTCTGGGGCGAGGCATTAAGCTATGCTCGTCATATTGTTAACCGGTTACCTTCAGCAGCATTAAATGGAAGAACCCCTTTAGAGGTATGGTCAGGCTCTCCTGCAAATGATTATGACTCTATGCGTATATTTGGTTGCTCAGCATATTATCATGTTACTGAGTCCAAGCTAGATCCTAGAGCCAAGAAAGCTATATTCTTGGGCTTTAGTGGAGGAGTAAAAGGTTACAGACTCTGGTGTTCTGAATCAAAGAAAGTGATTTTGAGTAGAGATGTCACTTTTGATGAGTCTGGCATGTTACAACAAGAGAAATCACAGGAGAAGGAAAAACAGTCTGGTGATGCACAACAGGTGGAGTTGGAGACTTCAGTCATTCCTATAAAGACTGTTCAGACAATCTCTACTGAAGGAGATTCAGATGAAAGTTCAGATGAAGAGGATGCAACAACTTCAGCAACCACACAACAAGAATCCATTGCAACGAGTAAACCGAAAAGAGTTATCAAGAAACCTGCTCGGTATTGTAACATGGTGGCTTATGCACTTCCGGTGATTGATGATGGAATCCCCTGCACCTACAAAGAGGCAGTACAGAGTGTAGAAAGTGCAAAATGGAAAGAGGCAATGGATGAAGAGATGAAATCTCTCCACAAGAATCAGACTTGGGATTTGGTACAACTCCCTAAAGAAAAGAAGACAATTGGTTGCAAGTGGGTATATGCTAAGAAGGAAGGTAATCCAGGAAAAGACAACATCCGTTTCAAAGCAAGATTGGTAGCAAAAGGCTATGCTCAGAAGGAGGGGATAGATTATAATGAGGTATTCTCCCCAGTTGTTAAGCATTCATCAATTCGTATTCTGCTAGCCTTGGTTGCACAGTTTGATTTGGAGTTAGCCCAACTTGATGTGAAAACTGCCTTCCTACATGGAGATTTGGAAGAGGAAATTTACATGTCTCAGCCAGATGGTTTCAAAGTCACTGGGAAAGAGAATTGGGCTTGTAAACTGAATAAGTCACTGTATGGATTGAAACAATCTCCTCGCCAGTGGTATAAGCGATTTGACAAGTTCATGATAGAACATGGATACACACGGAGTCAGTTTGATCATTGTGTATATTTTCGCAAACTTCTTGATGGTTCTTTCATCTATTTGCTCTTATATGTGGATGATATGTTGATTGCATCAAAGAGCAAAGTGGAGATTGATAGACTGAAAGCTCAACTGAGAACTGAGTTTGAAATGAAGGATCTTGGAGAAGCTAAGAAGATTCTTGGCATGGAGATTCAGAGAGACAGAAGAAAAGGCACAATCTGTTTGACACAGACCCAATACTTGAAGAAAATTCTAAAGAGATTTGGGGTAGATGGTAAGACCAAGCCTGTAAGTACACCTCTAGCTCCTCATTTTAAGCTAAGTGCTTCAATGTCTCCACGCACAGAGGAAGAGCGCAAGCATATGGTTCAAATTCCGTATGCAAATGCAGTTGGTGCATTAATGTATGCAATGGTTTGTACAAGACCAGATATTTCACATGCAGTCAGTATGGTGAGCAGGTATATGCATGATCCGGGAAAGGGTCATTGGCAGGCAGTTAAGTGGATTCTACGGTACATTCATGGCACAACTGATATTGGTTTGAAGTTTGAGAGGGATGATAGACTCAAACAAAATTTAGTTGGTTATGTGGATTCGGACTATGCTGGTGACTTAGACAAGCGTCGTTCCACAACAGGCTATGTGTTTACACTTGCTAAAGGGCCTGTAAGTTGGAGGTCAACTTTACAATCAACAGTAGCTTTGTCAACAACTGAGGCAGAGTACATGGCAGTAACAGAAGCTTTCAAGGAAGCTATATGGTTACATGGGTTGATTGAAGATTTGGGAATTGTTCAAGAGCACGTGAATGTCCATTGTGATAGTCAAAGTGCTATTTGTCTTGCAAAGAATCAGGTTCATCATTCCCGCACCAAGCACATCGATGTTCGATTTCATTTTGTTCGAGAAATTGTGGATGAAGGAGATATTCTGCTACAGAAGATTGGTACCGCAGATAATCCAGCTGACATGCTCACAAAATGTGTCTCAGGGATCAAGTTCCAACATTGTTTGGACTTGGTCAACATCTCTCGGTGTTGAGCACCTTCAGGGTGCAGCGCCATATGGCGCATTAGAGGCAGCATTGATTGATCACAAAGATTGGATGGAAAAATCTTGCCAAGGTGGAGATTTGTAGCAAATTGTCAACATTTTTTCTCAACCACCCTCTCCTTTAACAACCACCATCAACCACTTCCAACCACCATTCAACCACCATCAACCACCCTCAACCACCCTCAACCACCCTCAACCAAGTTGCCAAGGCTCTCCTATAAATAGAGATAAAGAGAGAGCAAAAGTGTAGTGAAATTGTGGTGAGAGCAAAGGGTGAAAGTGTGGTGAGTGCAACTGTGAGAGTGAGAAAATACAGATTTGAGAGAAACACCGAGTGTAAGAGTAAAACACCCGGTTAAGTGGGATTGTACTGGGTTGAGTTGAGTGTTTGTATCATTCCTTCAATAATATACAATCTGCTGCCTCCGTGGACGTACCCGATTTTGGGGAACCACGTAAATCTGTTGTTTGTGTTTTATTTGTGTTTGCTTTTGGTCCAGTATGCGCAACATCAAGATCATTATTTAACTCTCTTTTTTTCCAGTGAGTGCTAAGCCTGATGTAGGCCACAGGGCCACATTTTTATTTTTTTAAAAATTACAAAATTTCACACAAGAAAATCCCATACCAAAATACAATACTAATGATGAAATGAAATAAAGAGTCCTAAAACATGTCTCCGTGCAAAGAAGACTCCCAAACTGGATCAAACAATATTTCAAACGTAGAAAAAGAGCAACAAACTTAAAACTATGGATTATGAGCTTCCCCGGAACTGGTTTTCACACTTGTTAGACACTGCTCGCTTAAACCCAAATGCGCCATGAGAAGGCACACACGAGTGAGTAGCTCCCCACCACGTGTAAGTGCTTGAGCATGCTCTTTCCATCCACAATTAGATGCTGCATAAGCCAACATCTCCACCCATATTTGACTTATCATCCTCCACTTTTTTTCGTTGGTCCAATTATTCTCCAGAGATTGTAATTCCTTAGCGAGCTTGCAAGCATCATGTAGCATTGACACATTGTTTCCATTTTTTTTTATTTCATTCAAAAACTCTTCAGAACCCCAATGAGTAGGTGTTATTATTTCCGATCTCCAGCACCACGAGAATTCGGTGAGTTGAATGCCGGTTTGCTTGTACCTTGCCTGACCAATCCCTTTAGGCAGCATATTTGGAGGTTCACTTAGAAGATACAACATGTAATTAGATAAGGATCTGCTCATTTTGCAAAGTTGATTATTTGCATCAACTTTGTTATTGCGAATATCATCATGATAGCAAATATCAGTGGCAATGTGCCATAAAAGGAGGCTCCCATGAAAGTCTATTTCAACCACAGCCCAACGAAATTCTTCCAAGCATCCCATGCTTTTCAGTACCTGATCACCTCTTTCAGCCAATATCTCCTTCAAATCATTCATGCCAGGATCAGGTTGAGGCATTTCATGACTATATCTCGAACGTTTGTCTTTGAGGTATTCCCAAATTAATTCTTTTAATTCCTCACTGATAACCTCCCAACTTTGAATGTTATCCTTGCCTATCAACTTCAGAAAACAAACTTTGGCTGTTGGTTTACATGCCAACGAATTTATGACCATCGTCCGCAAAGCTGATCCGTTCTTGGTTATTTGAGCATCTGTTAAGTCGTGTCGAGCCATTTTTCTTTCCCACCTTTTGTTATTGTCAGAATAGATAGCTCGATAGACAAAATCGGCCCATGGCTTTTTTAGCAAGCTAAGCCGAAGCATAGCCCATTCAGATAAGAGAAGCATGATGAATCCATATATCTCAAGAACCACTCCTCCTCCCAGCAAGATGTATGAAATAATTACCTCGGTTCCTGTATAGGCACACTTGTTCGCGACCATCAACGAGAAGGCGACCAATGCAGAAGTAAAAGATAGGAAACTGATGGAGCGAAGAATTGTACGCGTTGAACAAACACTTGTCACCTTCGTAAAAAGCACATCGTACATAAATCCCAACTCGACTTCTATCACTTTGAAGGCTTCTGTGGCTTTCTTCTTGCTACTCAGGATACGATAGCTTGCCATATGGCTAGAATGGCTAAGCGCGAGATCTGCATAAAATATCTTGAACATTTGAAATAAAAAATGTGCTTCATGGAGATACACAGCCTCAGGTATTATGTTGTTAAATTCTAAACCTTTATTCAAGTCTTCCTCAGACATGTCAAAAAAGCCAACAGATCGAAATTTCTTGCCAAATTGGCTCTGGAAAGTATCCACTTCTTCATTTTCGATGTCCCTAAACTTCTTGGAGCTTGCTAGCCAGAGAACCAAAATCCTTTCTCCAAACTTGGTAATTCCAGCAACAAAGATGGGAATGGCTATATATATGAGTGGATCCTTACCCCATGATTTGAACAGGAAATAAGAAGCTGTAGAAGCTTGAGTTGCTAGCCGGAGAAGGTGTCTTAACCACAATTCGTTGTCTTCCAGTGCATAAGCAGTGATAGTGTCAGGGCCACCAAGGTGTACAAGGAGAATTGGTGCCCAAAATGCTGGAATATTGTTTGAAGTTGGATTGATACGATTTGTTCCCGAAACTCCTTGGCTACGGGAAACACTACCCAATGCATAAATTGTCACCGAATCCGCGGACAAGTATGCTATCCAGACAAGGCCTCCAAGCACGATTCCAGTGTAGTACTTCCGCCGATCTCCAATGACGATGAGCAAGATTTGGAGAAACAGACTTAACAAAATCAGTGAGCGAATCTCCCATTCATTCCACAATTCTTGAGCACGTTTGGACAAGTTGCTGATATCCATTTTCTTTCCTTTTGTTTTCCTTCAACACAAGGTGCTATGTAAATTAAAATTTCCAATAATGAAATCAGCTTTAGTTAAGATTCCAACCAAGCCAGAAACAATATTCAACTAAAGCAACAATGGACCGAGTACTAGCTAGTACTAATAACAGAAACAGTCACAAACTATTTAATAAACAAGATCATTACATTACTGCAAATTATGGAGCTTAACTAATTGACCATTTTCAACTTCTTGCAGACATAGTGGTTTTGGTTACTTCAGCTAATACAAAAATCACTAAATCAAAAGCATAAATATCATTGGAATTGATTTGTGCTTAGAGCTACTCTAATTAAATTAATTACACCCTAAAACTCATGTTAATTGGATGGGGAAAAAATAACAATCTACAAACACATGTATAACGTATGCAGTTCATGATTTTTCAAGCCAAGTCACTTCTAGAATAGCCAAAACAATACCTGGAGATTTTATGTGCAAGGGCAATGATGGGGACTGTGCTGCTTAGTTATAATTTTTCCGTCGACTTAGTTGGTTTTAGAAGTGCTGGTTCCACAAATACTTTACAATTACAAAGTTTTGATATATTCCTGTAGAACGATGATTACTTACAAGGTACAAAAGAGAGGAAATGTTCTTGTTCCTGAATAGGTACCTTTCCCTTGTCGCAAGGTAAAATTTTATTCTTCTGGCATCTACTTAGCCCGTGATTTTCATGGAAACACTTCCTGTTTTGGAAGAAAATTATTTGTACGTACGTATATAAAATGAGTGAAGAAGTTTATGGTGGAAGCTTTGAGAGAAAAAGAAGTTTCAATGGTACTAGGCAATGGATGATTTGTATCCCTAAGTGATATTATTCGGATAGTGGATTGCAGCTGCCCTTTTAATTTGCTCTGTTAGTCTCACGTTTCTTTCTGCTAGCATTTGGAAAAGAAGTAGGAGATGTTGGAGATAGGTGCGTGACAGAAATGGAATATATTTGTTTTGGTTACCAGAGAAAGACAAAATTCTTGAGAAAGAAATCTTGTGTTTTTCTATACTTTTAATATGAGAGGATAGACGGAGATGAGCATATACAATATTATGAAATTTTATTCTAAAATTGTTCTTATAAATTAAATTTTCAAAACCACAACTTATGTCCTTTACTTGTTAATAATGGCCATTTATTTTGTATGCATCATTCATGACCATTGGATTTGATTTAACAAAAATAGTAAAAAGTATGAAATTCATAAAAATAAAAAAGAGAGGAGAATTTTTTTTTTGTTGTCGAGATTTTCAAAATTTTTGTTAATTAATATGAAATCATTGTTGAACTATTACCGAATAATTTAAGATTTTGATAATTATCTAAAATACTATAAAATTCTTGTCATGTTATGCACACGTAACGTGAGAGAGTTATTTTATGAAATTGAAGGGGGATTTTAAGTTTAATTATAAGGATATGATTATGGAGTCCAGGAATCATTACCGTGTATTATTTCAAACCTTTACGTGTTTTATAATTTGATCATAAATTTCTGATTTATTTAATAGAAGTTTTAATTTTTCATTAATTTTTAATATTTTTATTGTAATTAAATTCTCAATAAATTTAATTAAAACTTGAAAATTTTTAATTGAGTCCAATTTTGAATTTTACTGTTTAAATTAAATTTTCTTTATTAATAGGATTTTTATTAGTAAAAAATATGCTGTTAAATTTTTTAATTTTATATATTTTAATTCTTCTCAACTACTTTTTAATAATTCTCTGGATGTTTTGATGTTTTCTTTTCTTTTTTATTTATCAGTTTAGCAAATCTGATCATATCCGAAATGAAATGCAATGATAAAAGTCCTCAAAGCTCGACAGAGAAACACATGTGAGGCACACCCTCTTGCCATGACAGCGCTATCAGACCATGCTACTACGCCTTGGTGAGAACCAAAAGCGCGTGAAATGAATAAATAAAAGATATTACTTAAATATTCGTCTCTTTAATCATTTCTAATGCGCACTTTTTCCTTGTCTTCGTCTGCTCTCTTTTCTTTGTGTTCAAATCAGAGACAAGGAACGAAACACGAGTAGTATAGAATCCAAAAGGCATTACTGTATCCACAAGCAATTGTTACTTTGGTAGCTTTCCTAAAGAAGGCTTCCTCCTCAGTCGCTATCCAATACTTATCAGTGCCAAGTTCCCCACCTTGACGTAGTGGAATGATTTCATTCATTTGATGACAACTTCTGGACAAAGAAAATAACAAAAGTAGTTAAAGATAACAAAATATTAGATTCCTCCTTGTTGAGAATCTCTTTTCATTAGGCATGTTTTCATTCATGTGTGTTTATATAAATATACGCAGTGGCATCCACGTACATACACACAGCACGAAACGCAAACTAGAGGTAGAGCTATGTCGAAACCAATAGGTTCTGAATGGTCTGTAATGCTCATCAGTATACTTTTTCTTCTTAACTGTCTTCTTTTTTCGCAACCTTGCTCTGGGGCTTCATTTGCATTTGGTGATCAAATCGACGAAGTCGCACGTAATGGATCTCTTCCAGATCATGAAGGTACAAATAATTGTCTTTATGATTCATTCTAAGATGTATCACGACATGTTTAGTTTAATTACTAATCGATGTGGGATAGGGTGGAAGAAGGCCATTGATTTTCTCATGAAGAAATTGATTACACGACAGAAAAGCTATTCGAATATGTAGATTACTTTTCGTTTCTTTTTTTACACAGACCAATAAATTCTAACCCATCTACGTAGGTATATAATAAGGTCGATTGAGTATTTTTATATTAACATTAGAAGATCCTAGTGGGATTTAATAAGTTTTTTTCCTCTTTTTTGCAAACCCTCTGCAGTACGTGCTCTTCGACTCCTTTCCAAGAATTTGCTGTCCCAAGACACAACGCAGTTAACTCTCACGTATCCAATTTGTTCTACCGAACTGGATTTCGAGATCACGTGCTCCTGCCACAGCATAAGAAATCAATCGGTTTGTTCGGTCACTAGAATGTATGCACAAAACTTGATAAATTCAAACTCTTATTGTCATTAACAAAAACAAACAATATAAAAAGATATAAAAAGGAATGCATGAAACCTGTTTAAAACAATCCTTTCTATGTGAACCGCTTCAATTTCTTTGACAGAAAATTGCCAAGCAAAAACTTGGATGGATCTATTGACCCTTCAATAGGTAACTTTGCAAACTTGGAAGGACTGTAAGTATCACAACTCCACATATATTTCTCTTTTCAGTATCGAAACTGCTGTTTTATGTGTTAAAACAAACACCTACAGTTGTTGCCATTGATGAAATTGATGTTTGATCATATTGCCACACCAGTAATCTTTTCAATAATCAGCTTTCTGGTGAGATTCCTTCAACGCTGGGGTATTTGCAGCATCTCACGTATTTGTATGTTAAAGCTTTGATTCCTTGTTCTATATTTAGAAATGATGGCATGCATAGGCTATGCTTATTTCTAAATCATGGTACAATGACTGTGGTGAACATCAGGAACCTTGCAAGCAATTCGTTGACCGGTTCTATACCTCCAAGCCTGACAATGTTGCACAATCTGGAACATCTGTAAGTCTGTCATGATTGCTTCCAATTAACGGTATTGCAATTCCTTAGAACTCATGGTAGATAACCCTTCTAATGATGACTGAATTGATACACCACAGCATAGCAAGACAAAACAGCACCCGCCATCCAATTTGTCATATGCCATTAGATGATTGCCATCAAATTTAAAGGAAGAACGAATAATATTAAAGAGATAAACTTAGATGAACAGAATAAAGAATTAATTTTAGCACACGCCACTTGACTGTATATCTAACGGATTCGATGGTGTGATCTAAAGACAATTAATTAATAAATGAATCTAAATTGGAACGAGTTGTTGTGGTGAAAGTTTTTAATATTTATTCTTGTTTTGGCTTTGGTATAATATTTATTTAATTTGCTATAAATAACAAATTTTACCATTGTTTGAAAGTATTATAAACTTATTCCAAAGATTTTGTACACTATTTTAAACTTTTAATTAAAATAATTGAGAGTTTTGCTAATAAATAATTATGAGTTTAAATTTCACAAAAAATTAATTTTTTAAAAATAAAAATATTGTGTTGATGATGTGTTAAAGTTTCAATCCAAAACAAACAAGAGTCCATTAAAAAATAATATATAAAAATATTGGTGAAAACTAGCTTTATAGTTTAAAATTTTGAATTGAAACAATTGTTTTTTAGTAATATATAATCCTAAGACATTGCTCTTATAATGCAATCTTTTTCTACAATTACTTGTAGATTTTCAAAAAATAAAAATTTTATTAACTTTTTTAAACAATTCCACAAAGATCGGGAATATCTATCAAGTTTGCGAAACAGAGTATATAGCCTCCACATATACTGCATAAAGACCTTTCTACATTACACTTACGCTAATAATTTTGAATTGCTATTTTCTTAAAATTTCCATTAACCCCAAAGTTCAATAAAGTACTAACTGAAAGTTCTTATCTTCTGGGATGTGTCCGGTGATATCACCTGAACAGTTTTCTATCCAACAATGATCTTGATGGTCCCATCCCTCAGAATCTTACGGGTTTACAATCGCTTCGGATTTTTTAAGTCGAAGCTATATACACTCGATATTTTTTGGCTCTCTCTCTCTCTATATATATATATATATATTCATTTTGATATATGTGTTGAAAATCAGGAATCTTTCCAACAATCAGTTGACCGGGCCAATACCAGACAGCATACGATTCTGTCAAAACTTGATAAAGATGTACGTATTTCTTCTTACATATTAAAACAGTCTTGCATCATATATATATATATATATTCATTCTGATATATGTGTTGAAAATCAGGGATCTTTCCAACAATCAATTGACCGGGCCAATACCAGACAGCATACGATTCTGTGGAAAGTTGATAGGGATGTAAGTATTTCTTCTTACAGATTAAAACAGTCTTGCATCTATATATGGACAGCTTAATTCTTAACCAGATACATGTACATCTTCCTGTCACAGCTATCTTCGCCTCAACTTCCTCAGCGGTACTATAAACGAAAATTTGGGGAACCTCTCTTCACTGATGTTTCTGTAAGGGAGTTCACAACCTGTTAGTTTTGGCTATAAGATCTTTCTATGTATTATTGCATGGTTTTTACTTTTTTTTGGCTTATATATGTATACAACTTTCGTTTTTCTTGCTAGTTTGTTAGCTTTATGGCACTAGCACCAATTAATAATAAGTCCTCGAATAATTACATTACTTGGATATGGTTCTATGAGATTGCATGGAATCATTCGGATTTTTCACTGCTTTTTCATTCTACATGATATTCGTGTCTTGATTGCTCTTATACATTATATATATCATTCTATTTGCAGGGATCTTTATAGTAACAAGTTGTCAGGCATTATTCCAAAAGAATTAGGAAAACTGTCTTTTCTCAGCTTTCTGTAAGAAAAATCTATTCACTGCTTCTTGAAGTCTCTTTCTCAAGAGTACTATAAATTTTTCTACTTATTTGTCTGTTTCTCTGGAGGGAAAAGGAACCTAGATGACAATGATCTTCATGGTGAACTTCCGAAGGAGCTTGGAAGCTTGACCAATCTTCGACAGCTGTAATTTTCTTGTTTTACTTTTGTCATTTTGATCATAGAGAATCCAACTTGCTTTAACTTCAGATGAGGTCCCATGTGAAAAATTCGGAACGATAGCCACCTAAGTAGTGCACTACCAATAACCTAGAACTTAAGCTTTCAAATGATGCCAATGTAAAGTTTATGTTGTTAAATTAAATTATAAAATATAATTTATATTATTTTTTAATATATTATTTGAAGTAAAAAATATACCCCTTAATTAAAAAAAATTTATATTGAAAACTTACATAGGTTTATATTATTAATTGTTTAATTTTTATGAAATAAATATAGATAATAAGATTCGATCTCCTGACCACTTAGTTATGAAAATTCTGATACTATATTAAAAAATCATTTTAATTTAATGATTTAAATTATTAAATGAGATTTCATAATATAATTTATATTATTTTTTAATAATATCCAAAGAGGCTATATTTAATAAGAAGCATTTTAGTTTTTATCTAACAGCCTTAATTCCTTGTAGATACTTGACAGCAAATAATTTTACTGGAGCAATTCCTACGACATATGCGAAACTTATCAATCTTGAAGAGTTGTGAGTTTCTTGCTTTTTTTTTTTTTTCTCTTGCAATTTAGTTTTACGCTATGATACAATTAAAGGAAGTATTTGGGTCAATGCAGTGCAGTGGGTGGAAACTATTTGTCTGGTCCAATACCTGATTATTTTGGAAAATGGGTGAAACTCACTAAACTGTAAGTCTTTGTTAATTTTTTTTCTTCTAAAAAACATAGTCAAGGTCAATGTTATAGTCTGTAGAGGATTTAATTAAATTTATCAACCAAAACAATTTGGTGCATTGAGCTGACTGTTTCATTGTGTACTTGCCAGGGTTCTGATAGGAAATAATTTTGAAGGGAATCTGTCAGCACAAACTTTTAGTCTGCCAAGTTTACAGAGATTGTATGTGCAATCATTTGATGCCAGCATAGTATTTAATTTTAATGTGAAGATAGACATGAAAGTGTTGTTTAATGATTCCAGGTGGGTCAGTGATGTGAGCAATCCAGGAATATCATTCCCTGAAGAAGTACCGGAACAAAAATCTCTATTTTCAGTGTGAGTGTTTTTCTTCAGATTTAGTATGGAATTAATCTGGGAAAATCTAGATTAATGCTCATGGATTTCATCATAAATCTTTAGGCGTTGAGGTTTTCCAAGTCCAAGAGCACTTCAATGACAAATATTTTATTTCATATGAGAGTAACATTGCGAAGATCTTTTCGACATTGCTTCCGTCCTCTCATTTTCTAACATTTAATTGTTTACAAATAGAGAGTCTCTTACTTCTTCTATTGTTTGTGCAGGATCCTGAGAAATTGCAAAATTAACGGCTCAATACCCAAAGACATTGGCAATTGGTCACAGTTAAAATATCTGTATGTTTACCCTTTTAGAAATTTCCAGTAGTCGTTCCATCGTAGGTAGTTTATTTTTCTATACTGTGTTGGATTAGTCTGCTCCAAAATGGTTTAACTTTTTCTTTTCATAAGTAATAAATTGCATTACAACACCATAAAGAGAGGCAAAAAAGAGTGACGATAACAAATTTGCAAATATATGGGCCAGCAGTTGTTTGAATCAAGAGCAAATGCATAACCAGAACACCATAGCAACAAAGGATACAGCTTCATGTCCATACTATACACTTTTCTGGAAGATCGAAGTCATGCCACACATTCACGCAAAACATGAGAGAAAAACACAGAAACCTATATATAAAGAAAATCTACATGCAATGATCGATGAAAAGCTCGTCAAATCTCTAAGACCTATTCGATGGCTTATTCATCCAGTTAACCATAACAGCCAAAATGGTTAAACTCCATCTATAAGCTCAACACTTACACGCATTGATCTCATTTGTTGTTTCTTTTTCCTTCAGCTGACTCTTTGATCTACATTCCCAATTGAGTCTATATGCTTCGAACTTTAACATCAATTTCGAGTTCTATTATAACTAATATTTGATGCGTTTTGCTTTGTCTCCCAGAGATTTGAGCTTCAACAACTTAAGTGGTAGCGTTCCAGAAACATTTCAGAGACTGAATAAGTTGTACGTGTTTAAGTTGTTTATAGATATATTGGAGAGCTGGGAAACCATTGTTGCTGATGGGTTGAAGTTTCCTGCTTAGATTTTTAACGAACAACACGCTCAGTGGGCTTCCTAACTGGACCAATAACTCGACAAGTGTCTATCCCACAGCGTAAGACACTAGATTGGCATCCGGTTAATCCAAGCTTTTCTTCAACTGTCCACATAATTTCTTTTTAATTACTCTATTACTGAAGTCGGAAATAGGATGTAATTATACCTTCTTTTGTCAGTGAAATAGTATAAAACTATTCTTAGGAATTTATCAAACAATTGGATTCATATTATTTTTTTGACACTCTTCAATAGATAAGGTATGGCGATTAAAAATTAAATTAGAGATACAAATTATCATTTTTTAGTGTGTTCTTCAGCTTTTTTTCTTAGCTCATTACATCCCTTGATTAAGCATACAACAAACCATAGTTAATGTATAACACTTGGCAGTTTAACAAGGTGACATTTGTTAAAAATATCTTAAAGTGCTAAATTGTGCTCATATCAACTTAATTTTAATTTTTTTGTCTTTTTATAATTATTTTAGGTTAGTTATGCCTCTCTAATATGTCTTTTTACTCGTTAAATCCCATAATTAAGGTGACAAGAAATCATGGTTAGTATAGAATAAGTGGCATGCTAAGAAGTTGACACATGTTAAAAAAATAATTTAGATGAATTATTAACTGAGGAAAAAATTTCAAATCAATTTTATGAATTGTTAACTTGCAGGGATCTTTCGTACAATAACTTCAACGTGACATGTGAAAATGCAACCTGCTTGGGATTGCAGAATGTAAGCATGTAAGAGATGGACCAAACTCCTATCCATTTTGTTTTCTTTTTGACAAATCTATTGACTTTCATAAATCACTACTGAATATTTCTCATTGATATTTATTTCCTTGGTTTATTTTCATGATCTTGGTGCTTTTCAGTCACCCGACTAGGTATGTGGTGCCATAATTTTCTGCAGTAAGAGTGATGTTCTTGAAGCATGTCTAACAAATTTCTGTTTTTTAACTCTTAGGTTTTTCATAGATGAGATGCGGGGGAAAAAATGTGGTCGAAGGCGTAAGTTCATTCTTTTTATTAGATAGAGAATTTCTCTCTTCTAATTATACCGGCTGAGTTTCTTATGGTAAATAATCATGTTTGTACTCAAAATAAGTTTTCTTGCAGATAATTCCTTGTTTATAAATAGTGGTGGTGAGGAAGTAGATGACGGAAAAAATAATTATCATAACGATACCTCATTATCAAGGTTTAATCTTAGTCCATCTGAGGATTGGGCTTATAGCTATGCTGGGGACTACCTCTGGGCAAAAGTCAATGCCAGCACTTTAGTAAGAAACTTGACGTGTGAAATCACTAGCTCTAAGGCAAACATTGATAACAATTTTCGCCTTGCTCCCGTCTCTCTAACGTATTATGGCCTCTGCTTGCGTAAAGGCAAGTACATTGTGACACTTTATTTTGCTGAAGCATTATATTCTAAGAGTGAAGATTACAGCACATCAGGAAAACGAGTGTTTGATATATATATTCAGGTAAATATTTCGCTTGTCCAGAAAACTAATTTACGTGCTAATGACACACTCTTAAGGAAGTCTTGGTTGCAGGGAATGATTGTAAAGAAAGATGTCAACATAAAGGAAATCCCTGGGAAAGAACATGAAGAAAGACGACTACAATTCGAGGTTAAAATAAATGATGGTTCGTTAGAGATCAAGTTCTTCTGGGCTGGCAAGGGGTCTCTATACAACCCACCTGGTCTCAATGGACCTCTCATATCAGCTGTTTCGATCACTCGTGGTAGGCACGAACTTCAATACTTTTCATTTTGTCTGCTAAAACCCAGGATTCTGCTGCTCACTTCACTATCTGTGTGAGAATAGTTTACTGCTTGGCTGACAACCATTGTTTTCTATATGTTCCCCAAGTTCCCAGAAAACTGCATGGTTGGGAAATTGCGTTGATTGCAGTCGGCTGTATTTTGTTTCTGCTGCTGTTGTTGGCCTTCATGTGGAGAATGGGCTGGATAGGAGACAGAGAATTGCGAGGTAAACACGAAGTGAAGGAAATCTATGAACATAATCTGTTCTCCGTCTGAATAATTCTTAAATAATTGTGGTTTGATCCACTTAACCCATGTGTTATTGCAACATATAGAAACCAAAGTGAAGATTGGAGAAAGAACTTTCACCCTTAAGCAGATCATTGATGCAACAAAAAAATTTAGTCCCAAGATGGAGCTTGGTAGAGGACGTTCTGGGATAGTATACAGGGTAAAACAAATCTCTTGTTCCTTAATTCTTTTTCTTTTAAGCAATAACTTTTATGTTCTTTAACCTTTCTTCACTTTGATTTGGCAATACTGCAGGCTCAATTGCCAGACCTGACTGTAGCAGTGAAGAAGCTAGTCGCTCAATCAAATGCAGTCGATGAAATAGCAACTGAAGTTTATTTCAAGAAGGCCAAGGAGTTGAAACACGACAACATTGTTAAATTGCTTTATATTTATTCAAGAAGGCGCCTACATTTACTCATCTACGAATTCATGGAAGTTGGCTCGCTCGGACAAGTTTTATTTGGTAATTTCCTTTATTTCTCAGTATCGATCCATTTTGGCATTTACAAATATTGCTAACCATATACGTAGCTTCTAATTTGGTAAATATGAACAGTAAATATACTAGAAAAGATAAAAATAAAGTGTTTATACACAACGTCATGGTCCATTAAGAAAAACTTTTGACACTTTCAAGTTAAAGAAGAATGTTTTTTTTTTTTTAATAAGTATTACACGTCCAGCTGATATACTGATTTAATGTAAAATTTTATGGTAATAGGAGAGTATTTAATAATATTTTATAGTTATTTTACAATACTTCATTAAAAAAAATAGATACAAGGAGCAGGTGAATATATTTATTATTTTTAATAAATCATGGATTTTATTATTTTATTTTATTTTGTTTGTTTGTTTTATTTTTCAAAGTCAATTAAAAAAATAACTAATAAAATGTCACATCTAAATGATTTTAGGATGGATGATATGTTAATTTTTAAAGTTTATATGGTTTTCCGTTCCTTTTATTTTCTCTATACAGCATTATCTTAACTTATATGGTGTATGGTCTATTTGGAATTGTGATAATAATAATGTTTTAAAATGATTTTTGCTTAGAAATATATGAAAATAATAATTTTTTATTTTTTAAATTATTTTTAATATTAACACACAAAAACAATTTAAAAAATAAAAAAAATTATTTTTAATAAAAAGTTTTTAAAATTTTTAAAAATGTAGCTTGCACCGGCCTGTATTTCAAGTGCTCTGAATCTTTAGAATTTTCAGTGAATAGTTTGATTTTTCAAGCATTACACTTACATATTAAACGTGATACTCGAGTTTAGTTCTAATCGAAGGACTAATTAAACCTTACGGTGATCCTTAGTCAACCATTTTTTCACAACCAGAACACGGCAGACTGCCGACTATTGACTTGGGGACTTGCAGGTACAAATTCCACAGTGCGAATTGATTGGCCGAAAAGATTTATAATCTGCAAGTATAATCTGCAAGGGAATAGCGTAGGGTTTGAGGTATCTTCATGAAAGGAATCCTCAAATAATACACAGAAACATAAAAGCCAATAATATTCTGCTTGATGCAAGTTGTAATCCGAAAATATCAGATTTTGGATTGGCAAAGCTTTACGAGGAGGAGGATCCACATGTTGCGGTTAGAGCAGCAGGAGGAGGAGGAGGAGGAGATCTGTAAGTAAAAATTGACTTGACCATTTTATATGGAAAAAAAATTGGTTCCAGTAGCAATCCATACATCTCACCAGAGTATTTTGAATATCTCCACGTAGTTACGATTTGTTATTATTTGATCTATCATTTCAATGCCTTTTCAGTTCATACATGTCACCAGAGTATGCAATCCGGAGAACCATGACAGCGAAAGCCGATGTCTACAGTTTTGGGATCCTTCTCCTTGAGATCGTTAGTGGGAGAAACAATACTGAGTACAGAGAAAAGGAAGAAACTGTTGTTCTGCTAGATACGGTGAGAGCTGGATCGATTATTGTTTTACTTAGTTAATGTTTCTTAGCTAAAATATGATCAGAAGGGATTAATTAACAATTTTTAGTATTTTTTGTACAGTAAAAGTGTATAGTTATGACATTCCTTTTGGGCAATTTTCTTACAAGTTCAAACAATTTCAGGCCGCTAATTTACGTGCGCGGGGAACGCTAGGAGATTTGATTGACTCAAGGGTGGGCCATAATTATGACGGGAACCAAACGAACATTGTTCTGAATTTGGCAATGATGTGCACCGAACAATCACCTTCTCTCAGGCCTACAATATCTCAAGTTGTGGCTGTACTTCAAGGCGAAAAAACCCTTAAGAATATTTCTGAAGAGATCGCTCCCTCAATCTCTCCTGCTTGAGCACCGGATGGTCAAATATATATAACTTGTGTGTTTTGCCATGTTTCCATATCTATTGATTCTTGATTCATTTCTTTTCTTTTTGTTGGTTTGTTTCCCTTGATCCTCCTTTTCATTTAAATCTTCCTAGTAAAGATTGAAGGAAAAACATGTACTGGTTCTTAAGAATTATGGCCCTGAAAATTGGAGACCTAGCTCGTTGATATTATGTAATATCTATATAGACCGGATGGTCAATATATATATATATAGTTTCATGTTTTCAATTATAATTACCACCATGTTTATGTTTTCCTTTAATCTTAGCAGAAGCAGTCTTAAATCAGTAGCTCTTAGTTTCCAGCTTACATCAATCAAGTCTCGAAACTAAACTTAAATCTTGGGAGACACTAGTAATTACATGAAGTGCTCTGCACGTGATTCACTTTTAAAAAAAATATTTAGATAAATAAATTATTAATTTAAAAGATTATTTGATAATATATCAAGTTTTAATAAAACAAATGTAAATTTTAATAATTAATTTTATAACAATGGTTATTTCTTCTGGCAATTCCACTGAATGATTTTTATATCATTTTGTTTTCTAATTTAAATCTGGTGTTAGATTGTATATACAATACATTCTTTTATACATATTTTTTAAAAGATTCTATATCAATTAGAAATAAATTATTTCCTAAAGTTTATTTTTTTTAGTTTGGAATCAATATGGAGGGATTTTTTCTCTCCATTATTATAAAAAAAAAAATAAGGGCGTGCTTATAAAGTGACATCTTGTGGTCCAAAGTGGAAGAAGGGCGTGCTTATTGTATCATGTGTGAAGACTGGTGGCTAGTTGTGAGGCACCCAAATAGTTTGTTTATTTTTTTTCTTTTCAGATTCTTTGTATTCTGTCTTATCTTTCAGCTCCACTTAATTGATGGGCTGCTTTATA